AGTTTCCAATAAGAAAATATCAGAAATGCATGATCACTACTACGACCTCCAACTGACAAGGCATGATACTGTGTTCACCACTCTATTCATTTGGTTTCTGTTACACTCACAAAATTCCTGGGACTAGATAATCTATAATGAAAAGAGGTTCATTTTGTTCACCATTTGTAGGTTCTAGAACATGGCTCTGGTGAAGACCTCTTGGCAGGTGGCATGACAGCAGGAGCACATATGTAAAGAGGTCACACCACAAGACGAGAAGCCAGCCCAAAGTGGGGGAACCAGGCTTGCTCCTTTCATATGAACGCTCTCCAGAGTATGAACATAGGGGTCCTAGGAAAATCACCCTCAAAGAGAAATGTTTTCCATGTTGCTGAGGACCACTAGGCTCCGTCTATCCAAGGCCCATCACCTCCCAACATCAACACCCTAAAGACTTTGGTGGACAAACCACAGCATCAGATTAGAGAGATGCTCCATTGCCATAGAGAAGATAAGGAAGGATGGATCTGTAGCTGAGATACAACACTATGACTGGCACACCTACACAGAGATTAATTGTCCTGCTTGAAGACTTTTAACCTGTTGAATTCACCTCTTCTTTCTTCATTTCATTAGTTCTGTCATTTATAACATCGTCTTTAGAAAATGGATCTGTCCTTACTTTGTACCCCTGTAACAACAGTCTTTGAGTTTACTCCCCAATGTCCATCTTACCCAAATAATCAGTTTAAATAGAGCATGGATATTTCATTTCTTTGCCATGAATTGGTCTAGGAAAGGACAGGTCAGTTTGGGTGAGCATGAAGAGGTGTGCTAGGAGTTCTGGGGATGATCATATTAAAGGTCTCTTCATTTGACCTGAACTAGGACATGCTCAGGGATACTGAGAGCCATCATGTGGTTATTCAGGATCCCTGTTCAGAGCAATGCCAGCTGAAGGAGGATAGAGACAAGAGAATAGCTGAGGAAAGTAGTCCACTTAGAATCTGGCCTGTCTCTGAATTTCCTGTTGCTTTAGATAATACCCTTGATTCAAAGCCATTTTAGATTTTCTTGAGATCTGAAATTCAAGGAATTCTTTGAATCCCTTTAGATTTACTTGCATACAAAAGCATAATTGATATAGGTTTCTGTAATCTTGTTCATACTTCAGCTATATTATTTATTGTTCTTCATCACAATGATTTATTCCTATACTTATCTTCCCAACTGGACTACGTAAACTTTGCCTTAGACTTATTTTAGTTATCTTAATCTTTCTAGTTTTGAATATCATCCCTGGTACATGGAAGGCGCTAGGTACACGTTTGCTGACTGTGTGAATGACATTGCCCATTGCATCCTGAGAAAAGGGGCTGCCCGACTCACATGAAATTGTTCATATCCTTTTGAAGCCAGAAGTATAAGGGAAACTGCGACACACTGCAGGAAATACTCCAGAAATCAAATGCACTTGAGAGCAATTTGGGTGAAACATCGAAACCAAAGTATGTCCCAAGCCTTTTCTTTATCTTTCTCTGGATAGGATCTGTCTGAAAGGCTGATGGGTATATTTTGCATTAACATCTTAAATGTCAGTTACTTCTTGGTAAATTAACCTCTTGGAGCTCCATTACTTGTTTTAGGCAAACCAGGCCTCATTCGTGAAAATAGCAGAAATGAATGTATCAGTGATGATCTATTTTTAGACTGAGGAACAGCCACAGAATAGTGAAGTGATAAGAGCATACAAAGACAGCAGCAGAGCAAGAAAGAAAAACAAAAGGCAGGGGAAGAAAGAGCAGGACAAGGAAGGGGAGATGTACAAGAGGAAAACCTAAAAGCAAAAAGAATTTCATTCAGTTACATTTATTTGGCATTTTCCATGTACCAGGCTTTGGTAGACTCTGAAGTGTTGTTGATTTTTTAAATAAAAATTTTATTTGAAGATGGGAAAAGGAGAAAATGAGAAAGAAAGGGAGGAAGTGAAGGAGGGAGAGACAGAGAGACAGACACAAACAGACACTCTGGACAAGCAGGGAATATTCAAAAGGAAAATACTCTGACTCTGGAGTTATGAAGAACAAGATTGATGTGGACCTTTCAGGGAGCTTGCCGTCCACTGAAGGAAACAGACAAGAAACAATAGTTATCTATTTGTAATCATTACAAAGTCTTCAAAAATAAGTGACTACTAATACACAGAGACCAGGAGGGCAGGATGTGAAACTGGGCAGGAGTATGTGATGAACTAAAATATACATGCTCTTCTATTCAGAGGCAAAGGTTCTGGCACTCAAAATAGCTGCTACAGGGGCCGGGAATTTAGCTCAGCGGTTCGGTGGCCTGCCTTGCAAGCGCAAGGACCCAAGTTCAATCCCTGGTACCAAAAAATAATAATAATAATAATAGCTGCTACTGCTGCTTGTAAACTTGGGCCAGGTACAGTGGTATACACCTCTAGTCCCAGCTACTCAGGAGGCCAAGGCAAGATGATATAAAATTTAAGGCCAACCTGTGTAATTTAGCCACACCTTGTCTCAAAATATTAAATAAATGGGAATATAGCTCAGTAATAGAGTGTTAGCCTACCACGCATGAGATCCTGGGTTCCAGTTCCAGTATGGGGGTGGGGGGTTTCTAGGTTATTTTTTCCCAATCTTAGAGAAAAGCATACAGGAAATGAGAACCAATCTATTTTGGGAAGCTCAGACCAACTGTTGGGAGACCAGTGTGAAACTGGTCAGATTTGATGGCTAGCAACAAAGCCAAAGAAATCTGAGAATCCACAGCTATGTGAGGCACACTTCTGGAGCAAGCAGAATGGAAACAGAATATCCAAGCCAGCCACAGTGAGGCCACATCTCAAAAAAAAAAAAAAACAGTGCCCTAGTGTCTCAGTAGTTTATAGGCAGTACATCTATAAGCAAAAAGAAATACAGTATCAGGGCCAGTGATTTGGCTCAGTGGTGCTGCTGCCTGCCTTGCAAATACAAGGTACAGAGTTCAATCCCCAATACAAAAAAACAAAAAACAAAACACAGTACCTAATGAGCACCTTTATTAAGAAGTTAGGTCAAAATAACATAGCAAGCACTTATGCCTGAACAAATAGTCATTATTTGAACATATATATTCAGTACTTACTCTGGGGGAAAGTCTCTGGTACAGCATGTGCCTACTGTACAAGAGGCCTAGGGTTCAATTCCCAGCACCAAAATGGAGAAAGGAGGAAGTAAGGTAGGAAGGAATTATGGAACTTATAAATTAAAGAAAATAAATATTTTTATTTCCTTCCTAATAACCACAATTACCAGATTGGATACCACTGCCCTCATTTCCTGTGTTTCACTGATTTTTGTGTGGTTTTATCAGTTGTTGAAAACTTTTCTTTGCAAAAGAAACACATGAGTGGCCAAATGTTGAAAATGAACTGTCTTCAGTTTACAATCAAGATTTCTTGACAGATGAACCTTCCCTTCTCCAAAAATTTGTAAAATACCTAACTGTGCCCCCCTCAGCCTTTGCATTCACTGTTGGCCCTCAGGGCACCTAGGAGGGGATTTTGATTCAGAAACTATCTTAATTTTGAAACAGATCCACACTTAAAACTGTGACTCTACTGTAAGTGTTCTCAGCCTGGGAGCACAATTCACCCAGCAGCACAAATCTCCATAACCAGGAAAGTCGGTCGATGATGAATCTGCCTCTTCTGCCCTTGGTGGCAGAGTGACATTGTTCACCTATGCCTGACTAGCACTATGCCTCTGAAGGCTTGAAGTAAACAAATACTATAGACAGAAGATGGTATTTCCAGTCCAAGCTCATAAGAGCTGCAGAAATCACTACATTTCTTCATGGCTGCCTGCCTCAGGAGAAATTGAGGGGACATAGAAAGTGGGGGATTTCTACAAAATGGATCCAAAGGTTGGGTAAAGGTATTGAAGCTCAATTGAAGAACATGTGAATAGATGCAGGAGGTCCTGAGTTCAATTCCCGGCAGCGCAAAAAGCAAAACAAAACTAATCTTCAACCATTTGTGATGTTACACATCATAATTTCTGCACTCTGAAAGGCTGAGGCAGGAGGATCACTAGTTCAAAGCCAGCCTGGACAATTTGGCAAGACCAAAAGAGCTAGAAATGTAGCTCAGGGCAAAGGCTCTGGGTTCAATTCTTAGCACAGAAACACACCACGCACAGACACACACACACACACACACACACACACACACACACACACACGGGCGCGTAGCCTTCTAACTCAGTCACCCTCTCCACTGCAGATTTCCCTCTACACGAAAGGTCTGGTAAGTAGCCTTAGCTAGAAACGTTTTCAAAATAAGACATGGATTCCTGCAATGTTTCTAAGATAGATTCATCATGTCCACTGTTCAAAAGTTGAATTGAGAATTTTTTTCAAGTGATTAAAATGTTTTATATTTCAATAGGAATGTGAATGGCACATGAATAAGTCAAAAGACATGTAATCGTGGGTAGATAGATAACATGATACAGTAAACGTTAATGACAGAACCTAGGTGGTAGATAAAAGAAATGTCCATCGTAAAATTGTTTCAAATGTTTACGCACGTTTAAGCCAGAGCTTAACACAGCAGACAGCTTGGCAGGGGATTGCAGGCCACCCCAGCCCGGTGCAGTTCCGCTCAAAGAAGCTGCCCTCTGC